GGGATCGCGATCGTCACCCTTGAGGCGACCAAACGACTCAGCAGGATCGTCGTCATCGCGTGTGATTCTATCGGCTAGCGACCGCTTCTGTTGCGGGAGTACGGGCTGTCCGTTCTTGGTCATGCGAGAAAGTAGCGAATCCCCTCCTCGTGACTTGTTTGATCCGTATGTCGCGTCGATGGCGTTTGACCGGTGGTGGTTATGGCCCATTGGCGAAGTGTCAAGGAAAGAGTCCTTCTGCCAACGTCCACCACTCGCAGGGCCGCCGCGATCATAGTTTGCACGGTCGTGTGTCCAGCGATCCATGCTGGGTTCACGGCGACGGCGAGTGTTGTTGCGGCTGCGACTCCGGCTGCGGTACCGACGGCGGCCCGCGTGGGTCTCGTTCTCTGCGAATCCGAAGCGACCGTCGCCTTCTTCGTCGGAGGCAGGGGAGGCGCTGCGTCCTCGTAGACGGCCGAAGCGTGGCTCTTGTGGACTGGGTCTGTTAGCTTGTTGACAGGGTCACGGAGCAATGCGCTGAAGTACCTTCTTGAGCCGGGTCGGTAGGAATCAACGTCGTCATTCCTGAGTCTACCATCAGCGGGCGGACGACCTCCTCTGCCACCGCGACCTCGGACTTCTCGTCCATCACGGCCATCACGGTTGTCTCGTCCGTTCCGGCGCGGGCCCCTTCGGTCAGCGCCTGAGTCGCCCATGGACTGGTCTCGGCTGTACCCCCGTCTTGATCGGTCCCTGGAGCCCATTTCCTCGTCGCCATAATCGAGATAGTCTTTCTGCGGTTTTTGGTTCCGTCGCGGCTCTCTCTGGTGGTTGCCAGCCACGTCTGGGTTGCGTTGGTAGTAGTTGCTCTTGGTTGCTGCGCCCTTCGGCTTCTGGTCGCCAGCGTTGGACTGCCTGATGACGAGGCGACTGTTGGGCTTCTTTGAGTATGGTTGCGCTGTGCGGGGCTCTTGTAGTGAGAGGTTGCTGGTGTCGCCCACGTCGGAGTGAGTGAGGATGCCTAGGGCGACGGTCGCGTCTTCCTTGTTGTAGAATTCGAGGTTGACCGAGTTGTCGTTTACCCAGCGTAGTTGCTTAACGCGCGGGTCTGACTGGCAATGCTCCATCGCCCAGTAGAGGGGGTCGTTGGGGTCGAAGTCGCTCACGCCCTGGAGGTTGAGCGATTCGGGCCATGCTTCGTGGACAATGATGTCCTCAAGGTAGGCGGCGGGTATGTTTTGTTCTTGCTCGGCCGGCTCCTGCGATGGCGCCCATGTCAGTCAATTGCGCCTTCTCGTGCAGCCTGGCGCAATGCTCACCTGGACAACCTGCTGTGGTTGCGACGGCTGTGCTACCGGTTCAATGTCTGCGCCTACATCAATGTCAATATCGTAAGCGACATCAGTCATGTCCGTGTCGTCCATGATGGCGGCTATATTTCAAAGAGGTCCGGCAATTCGGTGAGGTGGTGTTGTTGGAAGTTCGAGAGCTGTACAAGCAGCGCGCCGCGGTCGGTAAGCTCCAAAGCGCGGGCGGGCACTAACGTCATCACGTGCGTGATTGAAACGCCCCAGCACAATACGACTGCCCGACTGTGTGTTTCACCACCAACAATAGCATAAATATCAGAGTGACGGTGAACGTGCAAGCAAGTCAAGTTTGGGTCAGGGTCGTCGTTACACCCTGTAGCGGACCTATCGAGCTTGCAGGCATGGCCCCTAGAAGCTAGCCACGACGCGTCACAATTGAAAGCGATGTATATGCTTGAGACAGTCACCTCATCCTAAAAGCGCCTACCATCTCACGACTGCTCCTCCAGCGTAAAGGTACCCGTCTTGGTAATCAAATACTCATTCACTGCGACATCTTTTCCTGACTCTTTGCCATAGCCGGATTGTTTGATGCCGCCAAATGGCGATTCTGCAGCAGAAGAGTTGCCCTGGCACATGTTAGTATGTTTTCCGATGTCTTCGTTGTCAACTTACGGTGTTCAGCCCAATCATGCCGGCTTCCAGATTCTCAAACAGTCTCCAGGTGCGATCAACGTTCTTTGTGAAGCAGTAGGATGCGAGGCCCATACTGGTGTCGTTCGCGGCCTTGACAGCCTCATCTTCAGTCTCGAACTTGATGAATGTACTGATCGGGGCGAAGGCTTCTTCATTGGCAATGTCCATGTCTGGCGTAACGCCAGTAATGACGGTGGGTTCGAAGAAGTAGCCACCGTCCTTCTCCACCTTTTTACCGCCCGTATGAATCTTCGCGCCTTTTTTCTTCGCATCTTCGACAAGAGCGAGTGCTTTCTCGACACCCCGTGGGGTAGTCACTGGGCCCATCGTCGTCTTCTCGTCTGAACCGTGACCGACGACGATCTTTTGTGTCTCTGCGTTCCAGCGTTCGAGGAACTTGTCGAATATTCCAGACTGAACGTATATCCGGTTCGCCGTAATACACGCCTGGCCCGCATGTCGGTACTTCAACGCGAAGATCTGAGTTAACGCTTGCTCGATATTCGCGTCGTCGAAAATCAGGACAGGGCAATTGCCACCCAATTCAAGTGTAACTTTCTTCAGGTTGTCTGCACACATCCTAGCGACTAGCTTGCCAACGCGCGTTGAGCCTGTAAACGTGACCTTGCTCACAAGCGGATGCCGGCAAAGCGCCTCACTAAGCTCTGGTGTCTTGTCGAGATCTGTGGTCAGGACGTTCAACGCCCCCTTTGGGAATCCAGCTTTTTGAGCGAGGTAGGCTAGTGTGAGAACAGTGATTGGTGTCTCCGGGCTGGGTTTCACAACCATCGTGCAGCCCGCAGCCAATGCAGCGCCAGCTTTGCGAAGAATCATGGCGATGGGGAAGTTCCATGGCACCAACGCAACAGCGACACCAAGCGGCTGCTTGATCGTGAAGATGCGTCTATTTGGTAGCGCAGGTGTGAAGACACTGCCTTGAATACGCTCGGCTTCCCCAGCGAACCACCATGTGAAGCCTGTCGAGTAATCGATTTCTCCATACGCCTCAGCTCTAGGCTTTCCGGTCTCGTACACAAGAATAGTCGCTATATCTTCCCTGTTCTCCTTGATGAGGGCGTCCCATCGGTAGAGCATCTGCGCTCGTTGTCGCGGGCTGATCTTCTTGTACTCCTGGAAACATGCATGCGAGCTCTTAACAGCATCGTCGACATCAGATGCATCGTTCGTAGGACACTCTATCCACGCCTTCCCTGTTCCAGGGTCTGTTCACCTGTCAGATCTCGGTTTTCAGATAAGTACATATGCTACAATGACTGACCGACCACTTCGAACGTCTTTCCCGATTTCGCTCGTACCCAATCGCCATTCACAAAGGATAGGCTATGGAGCAAGTCTGGGTTGTTCAGCTGGGATATATCAGTACGAGTCAATCGCAAGAACGAGTTCGTATTGACGCACCTTGAACGGTAGCTCATGTTTCCTGTCTGACGCCATTTCGTTCTAAGTTTCTACGTATCGTTGACCGAAGCTGGTGAGTGTGGAGTGAAGTTGCCTGGATGAGACGATCTTGGAAGGCGCGTTGATTCCGCGGCCACCATTATCAGCGTTTGCAGACAACAGAGCTTCCCCACTTTCCAGCGTATAGCCTACATGACCAATGCGCGTATCTGCAGCGACAACCGGATATTTCAGGAAAGGCGATCCGGAGAGACGCCGCAGACGCAGATATTCAAAGCAGCGAAACGTCGGCGGAGACGGTCTCCAATTGGCCCAAACCTCGGTGGTCCTCCAACACGACGTCAACTCCATGCGGGGCACCACGCTTACCCCTCACTGCTGTGCTCGACTCCGAAGAACGACTAGGCGACCGACGATGATTGGAGATGCGATACCGGTGGCAGACATCAGGGTCCATGAGATGGCAGGCAGGAACGCTTTGCTCTGTTGTAATCAAAACATCAACATCGTCGCTGGCTATTGAGACTCAACATCGACCCTAGCAATTCAAACATATTTTCGAGGAGATACAGTTGACCGACCTACATTTACACCGTGAGGTGCAACATATCAAACCTCTCATCATGGGCAGACTAGATGGCAAAGTTGCCATCGTGACCGGTAAAGCGCATCCTCATCATTCCTCTCACATCTCACTAACAACCCCATCAGGCGGCGGCTCAGGCTTCGGCGCCGGAATCTCAAAAGGCATGGCCTCCGAAGGCGCCAAAGTCCTCGTCTGCGACATCAACCAGTCAGGCGGCGAAGCGACGGCAGCCACAAACCCTTCCTCTCTCGCCTTCCACAAGATGGACGTGACCAAAACGTCGGACTGGAAAGCCACCGTCTCGGCTTGCATCGAGAAGTTTGGGCGCTGCGATATACTCGTCAATAACGCTGGTTGGTCATATACCAGTAAACCTACGACGACGGTCACGGAGGACGAGTTTGAGAAGGTCTTCGACGTCAATGTCAAAGGTGTTTATCTGGGCTGCAATGCGTGGGTCGATCAAGCTATCGAGCGCAAAGAAGGAGGCGTGATCATCAACATTGCGAGTGTTGGGGCGACCAGACCAAGACCAGGTCTCGTATGGTATAACGCGAGTAAAGGCGCGATTTGGAATGTAAGTCTTCCCATAACCCTGGCTCAATCTTACATCAAATTTCCCATGACTTACACACCCTCCAGGCGACAAAAGGCCTCGCGGCAGAGTACGGGCCCCATCAGATCCGAGTCGTGTCCATTTGCCCCCTTGTTACAGGAACAGGTCTCTTCTCTGCCTTCACCGGAATGGAAGATACACCGGAGAACAGGACAAAGTTCACGTCCAATGTGCCTATGGGCAGAATCGGTGAAGTGGATGACGTGGTGAATGCGTGTATCTTCATGGCAAGCAAAGAGGCTGGCTTCATTACAGGAGTTAATCTGGAAGTGGATGGTGGACGCTGTATCTAGACTAGCTTTGTTGGAGAGATGAGAACTCAAAATGAGCTTCTAGATGGATCATCCCTAGGAACAGCTCCAAAACGCTGTCGTATCTCATGAGTCTGAGCCTAGCCGTCCATATACACATCCTCATCCCCACCGTCCTCTTCATCTTCATCATCATCATCGTCGTCGTCATCGCTATCCCCCTCATCATCATCTTCTTCCTCCATTTCATCTCCGTAATCCTGCTCAACTCCGTCTTCGTCTTCGTCGTTCTCGTCCTCCTCATAGTCCCACGCCTCATCCGTCTCAAGCAACTCCTCAATCTCCCTCCTCCTCCTAGCCTCATCACTATTCTCGTCAACTCCATCAACCAGCGCGTTCTGCACAAAAGCACCCTTTCTGTCCTCCTTACTCAAAGCGATCTCTCTGTCAACCTCCACAGCCCAACCTTCCCAGACGGCACCCCTCTGAGTCGCCGTCATCCTTCCCCTACTAGCCCTCCACCTCTTTGTCAATTCTCGCTCTCTCGCCGCTGGAGATTCCACGATCATTATCTCATAGGCTTGCTTCACCTTCTCATAGGCAGCGCGATGCGGTACTGAAGGTCTTCCATTTGGTGCTGCATAGCTCTCCAGTACCTGATAGTGACCCTTTCGCACTCTATCTTGCGCGTTGGCCCACACGCCCAAGGGTAGAAAGACTGCGCGATTGAGGGTGATCTTCCCGCTCTTAGGGTGTGTGTATCCAAGGAGGAAGGCGTCGGTCTCGGCTACTCCGTTGTCACCTAGCTTCAGTCCGCCGGGACCGATGGTGTTTGCGGGTACGACGATCTTAGGCAGATAGATTTGGATGGGAATACCGCGGTGGGATGTGGTAAAGGGAGAGGTGGCTAGCAGACTTGGTGCGAATGATGAGAGAGGGGATGGTGGTCGAAGATGAAGTGGAGATGGAGCAGTGCGCTGCATAGTCGCCTGAGGTGGAGCCAGTAGAGAATTTGGAGGGGGCAGTTGGCGCTGCTGAACAGATCCACCCTGACCAACTGGTCTGCTAAGACTTGGCAGGTCTGGTGCCCGTGGTAAGGGTGGTCCAGCATCTGAAAGTTGCTGACCATAGCTAGCGGCATGACCCTGTGTCTCTTGAGCAGCTGCGAGGCGCTGTGCAAAAGCCGGTGGTGGTGCATGATCAGAGCGTCCTAGTGGTGTTGGCCAAGATGATGTGTGAGCCTGCTGAGACAGGTTTGGTTGGTGATTAGCAGACTGGAACCAGGCAGGGGGAAGACCCGCCGGCGGAGGCAACGAAGGAGGAGCCCCGTATCCAGATGGAGAATGACGGTGGTGTTCAAATCCAGGTGGTAGCGGCGGTCGAGCATTAGGACCGAAGCCGCCTTGGAAGCCCCTAGGCAGTTGGTGTTGAGAAGGTAACTGCGGTCCAGACACAGTAATATTTGGAGCTTGAGACGCCGCAGAAACATGTGGTTGAGGATAAGAGTGAGGATTTTGCACACTAGGCCCTCCAGCTCGGGCATTCTGCTGGGACATCACTCGACTCACAGCCAGACTCACCTGCTGCTTAAGCATCCCTATCATTTGGTTTGCGGGATTTGGAGTGATATTCCGCATGAGCGCCGCAACATTTGGTAGTGTCTGTTCCGCAGCAGATGCAACTTCTGTAGTAGGTAGAGCGGCATGGCTTGATCGGTGTCGCAGGTGGGGGAACAATGTCGTGTCAGGAATGAACGTGTTCAGAGGTTGAGTGGAGGTCATCGCAGGTGGTGGGCGCGGTAGCGGTGGTAGGTTCGGGCGAGGAAGCGTTGCAGGCGGTGGTAGGGATGGACAGGGAAGCGTCTTGAGCGATGGGAGGTTCGGACGAGGAAGCGATGTAGGCGATGGCAATAAGGGTGTAGGCAGCAGACGCATTCTGGCCCTTGGGGCACTCATGCCGTCGTCTGAATCTTCATCGGTACTCCCATCGCCGTGATTGTTGTTGTTCAACCTACCGCCATCAAAGTTGCCTGAAGAACGTGGGATCGATGGGAAACTACTACGCGCGAACATCGCTTGCAAACCCGCTTTGTCTCTTGCACCTCGGAACAGCGTACTCTTCATCTTGCCCACAAGCGGTGTAGGAACGATGTTGATCCTTTGGAGTTCCTCATCTTTGGTCTGCTGGATCTTGCGCAATATACCGTCAGTCACATCCGGGCGATGAGCGTGAATAGTCGTGGTAGGGATAAGAGGGACACCCGATGGACTTCGGGGAGGAGCACTGCGCGCAGCAAACTGAGCCTCGTCCGCCAATTTGTTGCTGATGGAAATTTCCAATTGCTTTGCCCTATGTCGCTCCTTGAGCGACTTGAAAGCCTGCGCAAGTTTTGCGTCCTTCTCGTAGTTCTTGAGGCCGCCTGTGTCCACGAGCTTTGGCGTCTCCTGCAGGCTCATTGTCTGATCTCTGTGGTAGTCTCGCATGTTCTGGGCGGTGACTCCTGCTTCTACTAGTAAGAAGAACGCGCGTTGTCGCGATTTGAAACAAGCTTCGTAATACTTGGCTCGCTTGTACTGGTCTCGGGGGACGTTGATGAGAGGTGGCAGAGGCTCGTCTAGCTTTGGGGGCTGGATGCCGAAGTGTACTTCGCGGTACTTCAGACGTTCGCTTTCTTCTGTCTTGCGTTCGAGTGCCGCTAGGTCGGGCTTTTGTCGCATCTGGGTGGTTGTGTCACCGCCTTGTCCGTCCTTCCCGCTGTCTTGGGCGACACCTCTTGCTTGATTAATTTCCTTTTTGGCTTCCTGAGTGACAAGAAATGGATGATATTCAAAGTCCCACAAGCTTGGAATCTCGCCATGTAGAGCCGCCTTCAGAGCCTTTCCGTCTCCTTCGTAAAAGTCGATCCACCTGTAAAGGAATTCGATGAAGTTGGGCACCACTGTGCTGTCGACCTGCACGATATCGACCAGAATGCGCAACATGTCCTCCTCGTGCAAGAGATCGGGATCTATACAACGAGCATGCAGAGTCATCGGAGGCGCGTTGCTGGCCGGTCTCTGCGCGGTAGGGGTGTTCGGCGGGTCCAAGTCAAGGCGAGGCCTCTTTGCTGATTGCGATGCCGTGAGGGACTGGCGAGCCGCTGTCTGACTGACTTCCCACTGCACACACCACGTCCACAGCTCCTTGCCCGTCTCCAATGCCTTGCGCTCCGTGAAGTCCTGGAGAAGCGCGAAGAAAATATCATGGTTCGTGTCCATTCGGTAGGCGATGGCGTGAGCCTTGTACTGCTCATAAGGTACTAGAGTGGGTAGCGGCTCGACGTTGCCAACAACATCTTGTAACTCGAGATAGCGCTCGTCGAAGAGGTCCATGACCTTGCCATGGGACGCCATGGTTGCGCAGGCGGCTGCGTTGTTGTTCAAGACGAAACCGAAGCGTTGTGGTGTTGCTGGTTGAGAGGTGAGAGGGGAGCTAGGCAAACGCGCGGTGTTGCCATGCGGACGCAAACGAACAATATCAGAGGGAAACGTGGGGAGTAGCTTGAAATTCGAGGACCAGGATCACGGGATGACGCAACGAAAGAGATGGTGCACAAGCAGCCTACCCTACTACTCGGAAAATCTATGCTGGTCGTATTGCAAGCCCGAATATTTGTACAGTCGCCAGAGGGGTATCGTCGCAATCGTGCCATAGCGCCGCCTTCACTTGCTCCTAGTATACACGCGCGACCACACGCTCATTTGCTGCTCTCCCTAATCTTCTGCATAATGGCGCTCGCCCGGTCCTCGGCCTCTTCCCGTACTCTCCGCCAATCTGTCGTGTAGACCTTCTTCACGCCCTCCTCGAGGCTTCGGTTCCAGCGGTCCTTGGCCATCTCGGCTAGCCCGACGGGTGCTTCCCGGCTTGTGGGCTCTGGTTCTGGCTTCTTGGGCTCGTAGAATTCGGTGAGGACTTGGCGTTGCTGTCGCAGGAGCGCGGCTTGTGTTATGCGGTTTTGTGTGTGTAGGGAGATGCTGAGATAGAGGACGCCTGTGGTGAGTGTGACGCCTCCGAGCTGCACAGGTTAGCTAGTGTCATTGGAAGCCATCGGCAGCACTTACGAAGCCCGTGATGAAGCCCATGGCTACGCTGGAGTGTGTCGAGGAGTGCGCGAGGATGACGTGCACGGGTGCTTTTGCTGGATGCGTCGGGGGCCAATGGCTGGGCAGACAGATGTGCTGCGTCCGCTTGCTATCCCTCTATCGACGTGAGGGGCTGTCCAGGGCGAATATACGAGAATGTCCAGGTGGTGGAAAGTTGACTCGGGTGTGAGGTCAGCGGAATCGCGCGATGGCCTGCCAGGATTATTCCGTCCCAAAGCGGCAACATGTCCACGATCCGTTGAACGCAGCTAGCGCCGCTTCCTCCTCTACCGGCGTATCCCCTCACACTCCAGCCTCTCCCTGCAACTATGCTTTTTCTCTCACAAGCCCTTGATTTCGTCGTTTATCATGCCCATATCATGTTCCGTCGTCGCGCAATCTCAATGGATACCATCGGTTTTTCGTCCGGTGTGCTTACGCATATGTCCTCGCGACTCCTCACGCCACTATGCACCTTCAAGCGTGTGCATGGCCAGGTAGCAACTGCACTTCCCAGGATTCATATGCACATGTCGTTCGCGGGGTTCTCAGTGGTACGTAGGGAACTGCCGTACCTACACACCATCACAGAGTGGTTGCACACAAGCTTGGCACATCTACTTAAGAGCGTCCGATGCCTACACTGCAGCTGCCCACTGCACATCCTCGGTTTGATCAACACAATCGCGACAATTGAAAATGGCGTTGAACGAACTTTTTCGAGTGCCTTCTGCAACCAACATGCTTTTTCTGCTTGCAGCATACTGGGTTATGTGGATCGTCTATTGTCGTACACTACACCCACTTGCACGTGTACCGGGCCCGTTATGGCCTGCCGTCTCGCGAACGTGGCTCAGGTACACAAGCTCCAATAAATCGTGCGGTACGAGAAATGCTAATTGCTGAGTAGTAAGAGCCCCCTCAATCCGCATTCTCATTGCCACAACGAACTTGCAATCACTGCTTTCAGTCCCAAGCTCGGGAAGTAGCTTGTTCAACAGCCAACCATGCTGACACAGAACTTACCAACAGTGTACCGCATGTTTCTCGGTGATCTTGAGGTTGTCCAACGCGAGCTACACGAGCAGTATGGTCCTCTTATACGCATTGCTCCAAACGAAGTTAGCTCCAGCGATTCAGACGCGATATCACTCATCTACACTACCCAGAAACCTTTAACCAAGACGGACTGGTAAGTCACGCTTACAGGTACCATACGCACGCTGTGTATGACTGCTAAATTGGCAGGTATGTTTCTTTCCGCCCACGAGGTATAAGCGAGCACGCAGACCTCTTCACCGAGACAGACGAAGAGAAGCACACCAGGTATCGTCGGATTGTTCAGCCTGCCTATCAAATGGTCAGCATTCTGAAGCATCAAGATGCGATCGATGATTGCACAAACTTGTTGAAAGTGCGACTGGACAAATTTGCCAAAACAAACGAAGAGGTAGATCTGGGGCTTTGGCTCGAACTATTTGCTCATGATGTAATTGGGCACATCCTTTTCGGCCACTCCTTTGGTTTCTTGGAGAAAGGTACACATGTGGATTCCTTTATTGAATCTGTACACAACGCTGCCCCGCTTCTTGCTTTCAGTACTGCGGCACCGGCCTACATGCGCAGCATCATCATGCTGGCCGCCATGTGTGTTCCTAGTAATTTGAAGCAGTTCAAAGGCGTACAAGCTACCGTGGTGGAAGCTAAACGCCAGACACAACTTCGACTACAACGCTCGGCAGAAGCGGACGATCAGAGTCAAGACATCCTTGCTCAGCTCCTGCGTAAAGTGGGACAGAAAGATAGTGAAGCTTGGTTCACACACAAAGAAGTCACACTGGAGTCTTGGGCTGGTATTATGGCTGGCGCTGATTCTGTCGCCGTCAACTTGAGGGCAGTTTTATACTACCTTATAAGGACGCCCGATGCCATGTCTAAAGCGACCCAGGAACTACAGACCCAGCAACACCTCCTCAGCGCACCTGTCAGCTTCGCGGAATCAACGAAGCACCTACCGTATATTAGTGCGTGCATTAAAGAAGCCTCTCGCCTTTTTCCAAGTACCGGATTCAACATGAGTCGTATAGCTCCTGCACAGGGTATTACCCTGTCTGGCGTCTACATCCCGGCTGGATACCACGTCGGTATCAATCCGCAGATAATACAATACGACAAGAAGCTCTTCGGCGAAGACGCTTTGGAGTTTCGACCAGAGCGCTGGCTAGAGAGCGAGGCCAGAAAAATTGAGATGGAAAGGGGGATGCTGCTGTTCGGTGCAGGAAAGAGAACATGTATCGGGAAGAACGTAAGTTTTCTACGAGAGATACATTGTACTAAGATCGTCTCTTCTGTTGGTATACTGATCACACATCTTCCTTAGGTTGCCTTGGCGGAAGTTCACAAACTCGTTCCAGAGCTCCTCCGCTGTTTCGACATGCGTATGGCTCATGATCGACCCTGGAAGACGTTCAATGCTGGGTTTGTGAGGCAAAGTGATGTCGTAGTCAGGCTTGCTGTACGCTAGAGATGGAATGTATCTTTCCCTCCAGCTTTTGAAGTAGGGTGACTTCTCGGAGTATTTGTTTTCTTCGCTCTCTCATTCATCACATAGTCAGTCGTCGATTATGCGGCCTAGCCTACAGACTCATTTGGTATGCGGCGCAAGAGTTGAAAGGCCAGAGTGTCCAATTGACCGCATATCTATATAGCTTTCATTTCCAGGAATCCTCCATGTTGTCGAGCACATTGTCTGCGCTTTATTGTTCCACGTGGTACTCTATGATCCGCCTATGATATCTGCTGTATGGGTCGGCTTTCCTCCAGCCCCCGTCTTGTCCGCACCACTATCGCGGTACTCATCCAGCGACGGCGTGTCGGCATAGCACATCTTCATAAAGCTCTCAGGGTAGCGTCCACCGCTAACCTCTGCCTCTTCGCACGCCTTGCGAATCTTCTGTTCCTCCTCCTTGCTTAGCTCAACCTTCACACTCCCGACGTTCTCCTCCAGGCGCTCAGGCTTGGTAGTACCCGGGATTGGGAAGATGTCGTCACCCTGTGCCATCAACCACGCCAGTGTCAACTGACCAGGCGTAACACCCTTCGCCTTTGCAATCTCGGTGATGCGGTCCACGAGCTTCAGGTTTTTGGGGAAGTTCTCGGCACTGAATCGGGGCGCATAGCTACGGAAGTCGCCTTCCTCAAAGTCGTCGGGGCTCTTGATGGCGCCGGTCAGCATCCCGCGGCTTAGCGGAGAGTAGGCGACAACTGCCACTCCAAGCTCGCGACATGTCTTGAGTAGATCGACTTGCTTGCTCTCGATCTCCAGCGCGAAGGGGGAGTATTCGACCTGTACGGCCGAGATGGGGTGGACCTTGTGCGCTCTTCGTAGAGTCTCGGAGCTGACTTCTGACAGACCGAGATACTTCACTTTCTTGAGATTGACGAGGTCGGCCATGGCTTGCACGGTGAGCTCAATTGGCGTCTTCTGGTCGACGCGGTGACAGTAGTAAAGGTCTACCTGCTCGATTCCGAGACGCTGAAGAGACTTCTCGATGGCCACTTTGACCTAAAAGTGGGATTACGAAGTCAGCGTATGTCTCAGCCGCAGTCTTTATGTAGGTTGACTGACGTGTTCTGGAGAAGTGTCGATTGTACCCATCGAGTCCTTGAAAGCAAACTTGGTAGCAAGAAAGATATCCTTGCGCTTTTCGGGGTTGGCCTTGAACCACTGCCCTATCAAGTCTTCGTTGTCGCCGTAACTAGAATAGCTGTTAGCCGTTGTCAGACCCATTGACCCGATAACCATACACATCAGAAGAGTCCCAGAAGCGTTCGCCTAGCTTATGGGCCAAGTCAAGCATTGCCAGACGTTCAGAGTCTGGCTTCGGCTTGCCATAGAATGAGGACAGGCCCATGAGGCCGAAGCCCAGGCGGTTGACTTGAGGGCCATCGCGACCGAGAGGTGCAGTGGGCAGAGACATTGTGGTATCGAGTAATGAAGCTTGGTTGAGATAGAAGACAGGTTGTTGTGCAATTCGACAAAGATGGACTTGATTTTAAGTGTGAAGTAGGCACTGGAACGGACGAAGTAGAATAAGCTTAATTATCGGGTACCTGATTGCAATGACGCTGGTATCCCACCCGCATTGACCTCACTTGCCACTAACTTCTTAACCCCGCTATGCATGAGATCATACCTATGCATCTGCCACGAGTACTGTAGCTTCACATCCCATTGAGACGTAGTACCTCAACGGAGATTGAAACCTAAGGGCCGACTCTGTGAGCAATTTGTTTGTTCGTCCGAAGAATTGAGCATCGTGAAATTCCCCGCTCTGGAGTCGGCGGAGCAAGACGGAGATAAGCTACCAGAGCTCCGGTCACATGGCTGAAGCCTGAAGGAGGTACCAGTTGGTCCGGAGTGAAGCATCAGGCATCCAGGCCGTATTTGACGCGTTGCACGTTGTGTCGCTTGGCATGGAGGTCTCTCACACGTCGCGGCAGGCGACAAGGTTCCCAAGGTTCCTGCCAAGCTCCCCGATGACCAAGTTAGCGTCCGTCAAACCTCACCACATCACCTCCCCCCACCAATGCATGCCCCGGTACCTTCTTTGTAATGCGGTCGCCATGCTTACGCGACGCCGACGTTCAACCTCAGACAATCTGCTCGCGCACTTACACCTACGGATAATCTAGTAAAGGCAGCACAGCATGACCGCCGAAGTACGCGACCTCAAGCCGCTCAACATCAGACCCGTCCAGCATCAAGTCCACGACCCGCTCAAGACAGACCCTTTCGCCTTCGATCACCACGATGACACCATCCATGTCCTCCTATGCGCCTCAGGTTCTGTTGCGACCATCAAGATACCGAACATGATCAACGCGCTTGCGAAACACGCGAACGTACGAATACGGCTTGTCTTCACGGCTGCGGCAACCAACTTCTTGCAAGGCCAGAGCGGGGAGCAGCCTTCGATAGAGGAGATAGAGGCGTTGCCGAACGTGGATGGAGTATACTTTGACGAGGACGAGTGGAGAGAGCCATGGATCCGAGGCAATAAGATCCTCCACATTGAGCTACGGCGATGGGCAGACATCATGGTCATTGCACCCTTGAGTGCCGATCTACTCGCCAAGATCACACAGGGTTGGTCAGACAACCTCCTGCTGTCCGTCGCGCGCGCATGGGATACCACAGGTCTGATCGATCCAGTGAGGAGTATACCAGGCGTGCAATGGCCGCAAGAAGATGGCGGCATACAGAAGAAGAGGATAGTGGTCGCTCCGAGCATGAATACCGCTATGTGGTTCCAGCCCATCACCAAGAAACAGTTGCATGTGCTGGAAGAAGAGTGGGGAGTAAAGAATGGAGGCTGGTATGAGGTACTGCAACCTATGGAGAAAGAGCTAGCGTGTGGAGACATTGGTGGCGGCGCGATGAAAGATTGGAGGGAGATTGTGGTAGCGGTTGAGCAGCGGCTAGGCCTGCTGCCGTGATAGCTTCTCACATGCACTCTTCTTGTACGGTTAGAGTCCCTACTGCTTAGAAAAATACTAATATCTATGTCAGGGATTCAAGCCACATCGTGCTACGCCATCGCATACATACCCGAGCACAGAACGGCGCAGCAAGAGAGAGGGCATACTGCTTCACGTGAGTAAAAAGATGGCATACACAAAAGAGCAAAAAGACAGAACTTAGATAGGTGCCCCTCTCACGCACCGTATGCTGACAGCCTCCTTAATTTCTTAAACCAGACCACGGTCTGTGCTGTCTCGCTTCTGTCTTTGTCGATGCTCGAATCGGCGACCTTGACCTAGCGAGCTGAGCAGGCGATATGCCCAACGGCGCCAGGCCGGACTCGAGTCTTGATGAATAACTCTTGAAAGTCAACGTCTTTATACCAGAGGCTACCAGTTATACTATATCAGAGGTGAGGAAATCCATGTTGCAATGTTGACAGTGACGGTGATGGGCGTTGAGCGTTTGTTGTGGTGGTCGGTGTTGCGAAAACTGAGACCTTCGTTCACCTGGTGACAAGAACCAAACGAGACTGAAACTAGAGCAATGAGAGCGCGATGTCGTCATTTACGCGCCTTCACTTTATGGAGTGTAGCAAAGTTCTCGATCACAATAACATGAACTGTCAGCCTGACGATTACCGCCAGCAGAACAACATGGCGCCCAGCAAGTCCACAGCAAACGCAGATGTCCCAGCCTCCCCGAGCGCTACCTATTCTAGTTCTGTTCTTGCAACCTTGAAGTCGTCGGTAAGTAATCGCTTCTCTCACCTTGGTGTTTGCTTTTGACATGTGGGCAGATACAGAACACGAAAGCGAAGCTCAACGCTCTCCGGCCAACCAAACAACCGAAGGTTACCAAACCAGGAACGAGGAGCAAGACGGTCGACGAGCGAGAGCGTCTCCAACGAACAGCAAAACGACTTTCCGTCATCGATGAGCCCGCTACTGGCCTTAATGTCTCCTCCACCAGCGACGAACTGCGGAGCGACCCCGCAGCGTCATCAATCCTATCCACCGGCTCCGATCCCCATCCTTCGCTCACAGCGCGCGACTTCGAAGTCGGCGGTACGCTTGGTCGTGGGAAATTTGGGCGCGTATACCTCGCCCGTCATCTCGCGACAGATTACGTGTGCGCTCTCAAGATCATATCAAAAGCGCAGGCTACAACACAAGAAGAGGAGAAGTTGATACGCCGCGAGCTAGAGATCCATCAAAACCTCGCGCATAAGAACATCTTGAAGTTACTGTCATGGTTTCACGACGACGAATCGATATACCTTGTGCTCGAATTTGCTCCGGGTGGCAGTCTTTACTCGAAGATGAACAAGCAGCCCAAGGGTAGGTTCACAGAGCACCAAACAGCCGTCTATATCGCTCAACTCACGTCCGCACTGCGCTACATGCATAGCAAAAACATCATGCACCGCGACATCAAGCCCGAAAACATACTACTTGGTTTCCACGGCGAGATCAAGCTTGCTGACTTTGGATACTCCGTACACTCAGAGTCAGGGTTCCGATCAACGGTGTGCGGCACACTAGATTACCTAAGCCCAGAGGTTGCGGTCATGACGCTCAAGCCCGGAATGAGCGGAGGGTGGTACACGAAGGCGATCGACCAGTGGAGTCTGGGCGTCTTGATGTACGAGCTTCTTGTGGGTAAGCCGCCATTCGAGATGAAAGACATGAAGAGCACACAAAAGAAGATTGCGAACTTCAAGGGTAAAGGCATCAAGTTCCCAGGACATGTCAGCGAGCGCGCGGAGGAGCTGATTCGCGAGGTAAGTGACACCCTCTCGCCTTATGTGTGCTCACAACAAAGCCGTACTGACTTCGCAAAAGTTGCTCAATTTGGATGCTGAGAAGCGGATGAGTCTTGACGACGTTATGACACACCCTTGGATCGTCGACCACGTCGCAAAGTCGGTTCAGTCAGGCATCCGATCATTTGATCAGCTGCTTCAGCTTGGTGCCTGAGGGCCTGATGAGGCGGTGGAA